GCCACTTGGTCTGTAGGAAGTAGACCCATCCCTGAGCCTGCTTGGGAGCACCTGATCTCTTCACAGAGTACTGTTTTTGCCAAGCCCATGCTATAAAGAGCCCCACAAGCTCTGAGCCCTGGAATTGACCAGGGGGTGTTGCTTACACGGGGCATCCAGATGTGTTCTTTGACCCAAGAAGAGCGGTAGGCAGCTCCAGAAATGGAAACTTGACTGCCCTGGAAGCTTTGTCTAGGATGTTGGAGACAGGACTGCTAGAGGCCTCTTTCCCTCCCATTTCTTCCTGCTGGCCACACATTCTCCCTGGAGGCCTGGTTTCTTGTTCTTAGGCCCTGGCAGTGACTCCAGTTGCAGGCAGGATGAATGCACTGCCAATCCAGGCTTGGGAATGACTCGGGCTCTACAACCTGGCTGCAGCGCACTTCCCTGAGCCCATCTCAAGAGGGTTTGGCAGGTCTAGATTGAAACAATTAGCACAATGGGGCTCCCCCCCACTTTTCTTGGGGGACTATGTCACAGTCTATTAAGCGTGCTCCCGGTGTTTAATCCCACTCTGACATGGATTTTGCTGGCAGCCTCTTAAAGTGGTACTGGTTAAATCTACCTTTTTTTTGTCAATGGCCCTTGGGATTTCTGCCTTCTCCCAGTGGGCTTCATTTCCTTTTCTTTTTTCTTTCTAGTGAACAGTCTGAAGGACTGATAGTCACCCAGGCCTCTTAGCTGGAAGGGCATCTCAGGGTAACCATTGGCAGGGTCCTAGGGCTTTGGGTTCAAGGGCAGGACATTTTGGATGCACAATGACACATCCAGTTTTGCTTTCCCAAGTACCCGTTTTAAAAATACAATATTTTTATTAATTCTTTGAGAATTTCATTCAATGTATTTTGATCATATTCATCCCTCCTCCCTGTTTCAGGTCCACCCCCACCTCCCTAACCCAGCCACTTCAGGTCCTCTTTGTTTTGTTTTTAAAGCCCATCTGGTCAAATTGAGTTGCCCAAATACTCTTGGGTGTGGGTCTGTGGCTCCTAGAGCATGGTTGACCTACCAGGCCTGGGTCACACCCTTAAAGGAAACTGACTCTTCCAGCAGCTACCAGTTGCCAATAGTTCTCAGCCAGGGGTGGGATTTCATGGGTACCTCCCCCTTCATGCTGGGATTTTTGTCTGGTTTAAGCTTGTGCAGGTCTTGAGCATGTTGTCATAATAGCTGTGTGCAGCTGCCCTGTTGTGGCTGGAAAGCATGGTTTCTTTGTATTTATCCACCACCTCTGGCTCTTACAGTCTTTCCACTCCCTCTTCCAGAATGATCCCTGAGCCTTGGGAGGGGTGTGTGATTAGATGTCCCATTTGGGGTTGAACACTGAAGTCTCTTGTTCTCTTCACATTGACCAGTTGTGGGTCTCTGTGTTAACTTCTGTCTACTGCAAAATGAAGCTTCCCTGATAAGGGTTGAGAGATGTACTAATTTATGGGTAGGATAAGTCATTAAGGCATCAGTTTAATATTCTGTCCATTTAGCAGAATGATAGTATAATGAGTTCTCTAGGGTGTACCTGTCTAACTATAGGTTCTTGGCCACAGTAGTAGTGCCAGTTATGGGTTCCATCTTGTGGAGCAGGCCTTAAAATCTAAACAGAAGGTGGTTAGTTACTTTTGTAACATTTCTGCCACTATTACACCAGTGGGCATGTCTTGCCAGGGCAGTGGTTATTGTAGTTGGCAGGGTTCACAGCTGGGTAAGACTGATGATTACTTTTCTCCTCCAGTAGCATGCATAGCACTTTCCAGCATTAGGAAAGCTAGCCAGTGGGAATGAAGCTTTGAGATCAGTGTTAGTTTGACTTCTCTGTTCTGTGGCTCAAATATGTCATGTCTTAAGCAAATGGGTTCACAGTCAACTATTAAACTTTTATGTTTTTGTTATTTTGGCATTTATTATTGTTTTGGCATTTGATACGGATCTTACTATGTAGCCCAGGTTGGCCTCAAACTAAAGATCCTCCTGCCTCAGCCTCCTGAGTGGTGGGATTATAGGCATGTATCATTGTGTCCAGCTTGATTTTCAGAATATTTCTAGTTTTTAGCATCTCTCCACTCTCAAAGTTCTAAGCCTGTATCACCCATTTTGTAGAAAGTTGTATGTGTGACTCAGAAAGCCTAGATATGTCTGGGGCTGTTGGCATCACTGGTGGGGAGGATCCCTGTTGGGCTAAAAAGTCTTTGTAGGTGTCAAGTCTTTGGGGAAGCCTCTGCAAGGAAAGGCTCTAGAAAGATTCTTGATGTTAAGGTTCATGAGTTCCTTGGATAATCTTATCACACATTCCCAAGGTGTTTGTTAGCAGTAGGGTACCTTTATCCTAGCCAGCTGCAGAGCAGGAATGGGGTTATGGCCTCAGCTGATCCCGGGCAAGACCAGCTGCAGGACCCTTTGTAAGGCTAGGTGAGAGGCCATCTGAGGCTGCCAGTGGACTGAATTTCATGGAGCTTCTGCCTTTTTCTTAGAAGGAAACTGTAGGAAGAGGAGAAGGCCAGCTAGCTACCTGGTACTGTGGTTGGAATGCTGGCCTTTCCACACAGCTCTCTCTAGCTTCCCTTTAGGTAAAATTCCAGCCCTATGTTTCTCCAGGGCCCTGCCTGCCTCACCCTGTTTCTCAAGGTGTGGCCTTGGCCTGCCCACAGGGACACAGGGTGAGTTTGCTCCAGGCATCACCTCTTAGCTGCCATGCCCCTGAGTAACAGCTTGAGACCCAACCTGTTTACCCAGTCAGGTGGCCCTTGTGCTGCTGGGTTTGTCCAGCCGTGAAGGTGCCTCACTTGTCAGGAGTGCTACCCTGTGCCTTTTCCAGGTCCAGAATTTGCCTGTCTTGTGGTGCAGGTGGGGCAGCCTAAAACAACCAGGCTGCCTAAGGAAACCCCAGGAGCACACACTGTCACTCCTTTGCTTTCCTTTGACACAGCAGAAAGAGCTATGTTCCCTGCAGGCTGTCTGAGTGCTGCCCTTGACCTCCACCTCCAGGCATCTACCCAGCCTCTTGACTGTTAAGCCTGACCAGACTCCTTTGAACTGGGCATGAAATTAATTAAAGAAGTACCTCTTGAGGCTATGAAAGGGCTGCAGAGAGGCTCAGGAAGGAGTAGCTGTTGTTTTCCACAGAGACCCTTCAAACCTTTGGGGGCTTCCAACTGCCTGTTCTTCTTCAACAAGGCCTCTGTGGAGGGTTACCCCCTTTCTTTTGTTAGCCTTTTGGGTCCTGGGCCTATTGTATTAGGTGTTAAGGGATTGGATGAACCCTAGGGTCTCTACATACTAGGCAAGTGCTTTACCACTGAGCTATACAGCCCCAGCCCTTTTTGTACTTTATATTTTGGAACAGGTCTCATTGAGTTGCCCAGGGTATAGCCCAGATTGATCCTGAAACTGAAATCCTCCTGCCTCAGCCTCCTGAGTAGCTGGGCTGGACAGGCTCGGCTCCCATTCCCTTACTCTTGCTATTTCCTCAGTTTCTTTCTAGTCCTCTATTGTGGTAGAGAGGACTTATGCTCACTCACAAACCTTTCTGCTGTCATTTGTGAGGAATTTAGGGACTTCAATTTTTTGGCAAAAATCTTGAGCTTTAGTGCCCCAAATTAAATGCAGCTCTATGCCAGTTCAACCTAACCCATAACACTTCCGTGGTTGCACACTTTTTTTTTTTTTAGTTTTTTTTTTTTTTTTTTTTTAGTTTTTTTCTCTTGCTACCAACTCCTGCACTGTGTCTGGGTTTGGCTGGAACACTGGGTTCCTTTCCCACTTGCTCCCTTCTTGACACCTTCTCCCTCCCATAGATGCCTGTTCCCCACCCCTATACCCCATCTTTAGATGGCTGGACCTGTTTGGTGACTTGGTAGCATGTCAAGTTAAGAGAGTGCTTTTACTTTCTAAAGTACTGGCTGTTGGGTGACATGAAGACAAACTCGGGAAAACCTGAAGGGAAGTGGGAAGGGTACCGAGCACAAGGTGAGACAAGTCAACAGGGAGAGGAAGCAGGGTCAGCCAGCAAGTAAGGACTCAGGAGGGGCCTGGGGTTTGGGACAGGTCCCCCTTAGCTGCCCAGCACCACTGTCCATCCATGTCTTCCAGTAGTGTGGGAATTAATGGGGTGGGTCGGGTGGATCCCACCCAGAAGCCCAGGGGTTAGAGCCCCTCCACTGCTGGCTGTTACAGGACTTCAGCACCCCTATCCATCCATGTCCTCCAGTAATGTGGGAATTAATGGGGTAGGTTGGGTGGATCCCACCCAGAAGCCCAGGGGCTTAGAGCCCCTCCACTGCTGGCTGTTACAGGACTTCAGTAGAGTCTGTTGGTGTCCCTAAGTCTGCCTGTGGGTGCTTAGAAAGCTGAGGGGTACCTCTAGTCCAGAGCCATGGCCCTTTCCTCTCTGGCATCTAGAGGCTAGAGTAACAGGGGTCAGAGTGTGCCAGTCGGGGTTCCCTGTGAACAGGAGCTCCTGTGGTCCAATGGGTCTCAGCAGTGCTGTAGAGAACTGGGTGGGCACTGGGCAGCAGGGCCATTCAGAGGCTTGCGGCAGCACCCAGGGGCTCATTCCTCTGCTTGGTGACCACAGGACCTGTTGCTTTTCTGCAAAGAATGCTTGGTCTGTGGAATACTGGGGAATCTTGCTATGGGTCTGTCCCTGTGTGAGCTAGTGCCTTTTTACTTTTGCAATGCTGGGGATGGAACCCAGGACCTCTGCTAGGCAAGTGCTCTACCACTGAGCTGTACCCCTAGCTGGCTAGTTGTAAGCCCAGGTTCTCTGCCTATGCTCCTAGTGGCCAGGTGATACTCACAGGCACAGTCCTTTTGGGGAAAGATGAACAGTGGCCCTTCACATCCTTCTGGGGTCTGTCCTGGAGACCGCAGTTTTCATCCACCATAGTCTCTGTTCCTCTTGTCCTTGCCAGAGCCTTCAAGGCCCTTGCAGTCCCCATGTTCATGGTGGCTTTGGGGTTGGTTTGCAGGGAAGATGGTGAGTTGGAAGAAGGCGAGCTGGAAGATGATGGGGCTGAGGAGATTCAGGATACCCCCGGAGGGCAAGAGAGGAGCCGGAAAGAAAAAGGGGAGAAGCACCATAGCGACTCTGAGGAGGAGAAATCTCACCGGAGGCTGAAGCGGAAACGGAAGAAAGAGCGAGAGAAGGAGAAGAGGAGGTCGAAGAAGAGGCGGAAATCCAAGCACAAAGTAGGTCCAGGAGGGTTCTGGCACCTTCATTGGCGTGAGCCCTGGCCTATGTGCCTAGAGGGCACTCTTAGAAATGTCATTTCCTAGCCTGGAGGGATGAAGACAATTTTAAAAGGATTTGGAGCTTATGCTCCATTGCCACTAAGTGCCTCTAGGTGAGGAGTTTCCAGCACATCTAGAGCCTGACCAGCACATTTCAGCACTGTTTGTCCTGGGGCTGGCTGTGCCAAGGTGGCCCGCCAGCCGCAGAATTGCTCACCGCACCTCTCTGTCATTGCAGCGCCATGCTTCCTCCAGTGATGACTTCTCCGACTTCTCAGATGACTCAGATTTCAGCCCCAGTGAGAAGGGGCACCGCAAGTACCGGGAGTACAGCCCCCCGTATGCGCCGGTGAGTGACACTGCCCCATGTAGCATCTCCACATGGGACGGGTGGACTGTAGCCCAGGGACAGTGGGTATCTCATCCCTATTTTGTGGATGAGGGCACAGAGACTTGAAAGATTGGATTCAAGCCAGGGCAATGACTTTCTCTACAAAACCTGCGTCTAAGCACGCGCCCCTACAGGCGCAGCAGGCTCAGTATGTCTCACTTGTCCCTGTCACAGCTGACTGCCTTCTCCTGTTCATAAGTGACTTTTTGTGGGAAATTGGCAAGAGAATGAAGTGGCCAGGAGAGTAAATTATCGCTAGGGTTGCATAGTTGGAAGTTAAATACCCCATTACAATTTTGAGCTTAAGCATAAATTTACGTTATTTGTTCAGTGTGTATATAGTTTCTCTCCCCAGGAAAAACCCATACGAAAAAATAAATCAAGGGCTGGAGATGTAGCTTAGTGCTTGTCCCGTAGTTCAAAACCCTGGGCTTCAAGCTGGGCTTGGTGACACATACTTTTAATCACAGCACTCTGGAGGCAAAGGCAGGCAGATCTCTATGAGATTGAGGCCAGCCTGGTCTACATAGTGAGTTCCAGGCCAGCTGAGGCTACAGGGAAACTCTGTCTCAAACAAAAACAAAATAAGACAAACCATAGGCTTCATCCCAAGCACTGCAAATAATAATAATAATAATAATAATGATAGGAAAAAACAAAGAGGAAATAGGGGTTAGGGATTTCACTCAGTAGTAGAGCGCTTGCCTAGCAAGTGCGAGGCCCTGGGTTCAGTCCTCAGCTCTGGGAAAAGAAAAAAGACAAAATAACAAATAGGAAAATTAATGGGACACTTGTAATCCTGGCAATAGGAAGGCTGAGGCAGGAGGATCAGGAGTTAGAAAACAGCCTGAACTATATAGCAAAACCCTGTCTTAAAAAACCAAGGCCTGGGCAAGGCGTGGTGGACCTTTTACAGCCTCCTCCTGTGATGGCCCAGCATCATACCCCAGAGTAGAGTGTCCTATACTGTAGTTGAGGCTGGTTTGCTGAGGGTCAAGCTGCCATCCTGGGGGAGGTAGGGAAGGGAGGGCATATCTCTGGTTTGGCTGTAGCCAAGAGCTTGAGGCATTTGAGCATCTTCTGTGGTATGTGTGTGTGTCTTTGCGTTTTGCATTTTCCTATATTGAATATGGATTCACTTCATTATTGAGAGTGGTTTTGGTTCATAGAAAACTTGAGAAGCTAGTAGAGTGCCCCCCCCCCCATTATCACCATGCCATTAGTGTGCCGCATTGTTACAGCTCTTGTGCTGGTATGGGAACACTAGTGTTCATTCCTTGCCATACTGGGTTTCTGTAGCACCTTGGGCTTTGTTACAATACTGGGTTCACTGCCCTAAAACTCCATGTTCCTTCCCATCCCTGCCACCACCTCCTGGTGGCAACAGATTTTTTTACTTTCCCCAGGATGATGTAGTTGGAATCCTATATTTTATAACATTTTGGAGCTGGCTGCTTTTCCTTAGCAATATGCTGAAGGGTTTCATTTTGTTTCAGTTTTGAGACTAAGTCTCACTGTATTACCCAGGGCAACCATGGAATCCTATATTCCATCAGTTCTCTTTCTTGCCTCCCCAAGTGGTTGGGACTGCAGGCGTTGGTCCACCTCACCCTCCCTGTAGCAATGTGTATAAGCATGGTAGTGCACACCTTATTGTAATCTTGGGATGTGAAGCCAGGAAGATGAAGGGCTCCAGGCCAGCCTGGGCTATAGAGACCCTGCCTCAAAAGCAAAGCAAAGTGTGTTTGAGGTTCCTCATATTTTCATTGTCTGCAGCTTGCTTCTGTTCCTGGCTAAGTGAGGCCTCATAGTCCGATATGCTGTGCTTAGTCTGTCTGTTCACCCATCAAAGTACATCTTGTATCCCTCTCTCAGTCCAGCAGTACATGGCCCTAACACACCTTGGGAAGTGTCTTTGGAAACAGATGTCTGCTCTGGCCACCAAGCAGGCCATTTATGGCAGTCTAAGATCCTGGGCGATTTTGGTCCAGGAGCACCCTTCCTGCCTTCCGCAGGTTTGCCTTCTCTGCAGCCTTGCTCTTGGTTCATCAAGGGACCATGGGCTCATGTTCTTCCTTTCAAACCACGGTCCTTTCTGAAGGGAAAACATGTGGGCCCACTGCTGCTCACCAGCCTGTCAAGAACAGGGTGCAGCGAGGCTGTGAGCTAGTGGCAAAACCCAAGGACAGTAGAGACACCCTGACAGATGCATCAGTTCAGGGAACTTATGGGACCTTAGTGGTCCTGACCTAGGCCATGACACTGGCTCACCATCTTCCCTACTCTCCCAAACCCAGTCCCACCAACAGTACCCCTCTTCGCACAATACACCACTGCCCAAGAAATCCTACTCCAAGATGGACAGCAAGGGCTACAGCATGTATGAGGATTACGAGAATGAGCAGTATGGGGAGTACGAGGGGGACGAGGAGGAAGACATGGGCAAGGAGGACTACGACGACTTCACCAAAGAGCTCAACCAGTACCGGCGTGCCAAGGAGGGCAGCCGAGGCCGAGGTGAGCCCTCCCTTCCCCAGCCCATGGAGGCCCAGTGGCTGGTCCACATGGAACCTGTTGACCAGGAGAGCCTGGTAGGCCATTCAGAGATGGGTAATGTGCACAGGAGCTACAGGGCAGCCTCAGGGCAGCAGGAAGAGAGCAAGGATAGCACCCTCCTCTGGGCTAGGATGAGGACAGCTGGCTGCCCCAGCCCTACCCACCTCCAGTCCTGGCCTCTGTCACTGATCTGGTGTGACTATTGCCTTACCTCTGAACCTTGGACTTAGTGAAGCTGTTGATCCTGTTGCCTGAGGCCTCAGGAAGGATGGGCAGCAACAACCCAGGCAGTCTCCTAGAACTGGCTTCCCCCAGAAAGACACCCAACCCTGGGGGGTGGCTCAGGTTTTTAGACTTGTGACCCAGCTTATTGTTTGAGTGAGTGTTCATGTGTTTGCTCTTGAACACCTTCAGGAGCAGACTCGACTTTGGGGAGATAGCAGACTGGTGCTGTCCAGGGGATTGAGGGTGGAGGGTAGCCACCCTGTGGTTTCATGGGTCCTGGTAGCCACATGAATACAGAGGCAGAGCGAGATCACACTCGTTTAGTGCACTCTTATCAGTAAGACAATGAGATTTGTGTTTCCTCCATCTGTGTACCCCCTAAGTCTTTGAAACCTGGCATGTGCTGTATAGGGGTATCTCCTAGTTGGGACCGCTGTATGTCATGGGCCTTTTTAGCCACACATGGTAGCTGCTATCTTGGATTGTACAACCTTGAGCAAGCAGGTACAGGGAGGCCAGGTAGTAAGGGGGCAGGTGTACCTGTGTGTCCAGCATGCTGAGTGAGCCCATCAAGGGAACCAGAGGCATTGTCTGTGTGGGCCAACTAGGAAGGTTTCCCATAAAGGGAGGGGAAGGGAGAGGGGCAGTAACTGGCAAAAAACCTTGCTAGTGGGGTCTACAGCCCACACTCCTAATCACCCCACAGGTAGTCGAGGCCGAGGCAGGGGCTACAGAGGCCGTGGGAGCCGTGGAGGATCTCGAGGCATGGGCAGGGGCAGGGGCAGCCGAGGCCGGGGCAGAGGCTCCGTGGGAGACCACCCAGAGGACGAAGATGACTTTTACGAGGAGGAGATGGAAGTAAGGTTTTGTGCAGCTCTTGGGCATGGCTGGTGGGCTTCCTGGACTGCAAGCCCTACAGGGAGGAGAGGGGAAGGGAGGGGCTGTGGGACCAGGGTGGAAGGGCTTGTGGATGTCCGGACCAGGGTGGAAGGGCTTGTGGATGTCCTGAAGGAAAGTCTTTAGATGGCAGGCACACATGTTTAAAAGGCTTCTGGGGCAATTTCCTTGAAAGTCTTCCAGAAATGTTTCCTGCCTCTGCAGGCAGGCACCTGTTTACTTATCCTCCTTGGAGGAATGGGCAGAGACCACCATTCTGCCCCTACCTTCTAAGGCCATGCTGTGTGACCCTTTCATGGCAGTGCACATGGGGGTGTCCATTCCTCGAAGCCATGCAGCTGTCCCTTGTGCCTAGAGACCCTGAGCTTGGCTCTGCCCATTGGGGTGGGAGTCTGGAGCTTGAATGCAGCAGGGTTGGACCATCTGTTGCCCACGCAGCCACTCAGTCCCCAGGTTGTCACCTGCCTCCAGAGGGGTGGCATGTGTACTGGGGTAAGGGTTCTTTGTCTTCTGAGTGACACTTTTGTCTCTCCTCCCTGGAATCCAGTATGGAGAAAGTGAGGAACCAATGGGAGATGAGGATTACGACGAATACTCCAAGGAGCTGAACCAGTACCGCAGGTCCAAGGACAGCCGAGGCCGAGGTGGGCAAGGGCCCCGAGATGACAAGCTGGCTGGGTTCCGGCAGCTGCTGGGCTACACCTGGGAACTTAACTTCTCTTATCTCTACAGGGTTAAGTCGAGGCCGTGGCCGAGGTTCCCGAGGAGGCCGAGGGAAGGGGATGGGCCGGGGCCGAGGTCGAGGCGGTCGAGGGGGCATGAACAAGGGCGGAATGAATGATGATGAAGACTTCTATGACGACGACATGGGCGTGAGTCCGCTCTTCTGGTGTTTTTAACCAAGGACACTTTCGGGATTTTTTTTTTTTTTTTTTTTTTTTGAGTTGGGTCTCCCTGTACCCCTAGCTGGCCTGGAACTTGCTATGTAGACCAGGCTGGCCTGGAATTCACAGATCGACCTGCCTCTGCCTCCCAATGCTGGGACTAATGGTATGTGCCACCACGCCTGGCAGGGATATTTTTTTTTTTTTTTTAAATTAAATGTCAGCCTGTGAAGGTGGATCCTGAGCCGTGTTCCTATCAGCCCCTTCCCCAGTGACTGATCAACATTAACCAGTCCCCCGATAGATGCCCTGTTGGTACCACCCTTGTTTAAAAGCATACTTTAGCAGCACCTGCAGCTACCTCAGTGAGTCTCTTGAGGTGGAAGGTTCTAGATGACACACCCAGGTGCCTAAGTGTTTCCCATCTGACACCTGCTGCCCACACCTGCCCTGTGCTCTCATGTACTCAGCATGTTCCCATTACCCTTTCCTCTGCCGTCCTCACAGGATGGTGGTGGCGGAAGCTACAGGCGGAGTGACCATGACAAACCTCACCAACAGTCTGACAAGAAAGGCAAAGTCATCTGCAAATACTTCGTGGAAGGGCGGTGCACGTGGGTAAGAGCAGTGCAGTGGTCTGCCCCTCTGGGCACCTATTAGTGCCAGGAGACACCTGTGTAGCCCTGTGTCTCAGCTCACTTCTCAGAGGCAGGGCGACTCAGAGCAAGATGATGGAGAGATGGAGGCTTAGGGATACTGTGGTTGAAATTTTCATCTTGTCTCTAGAGTCAAAAATGAGTCTCCAAAGGTTGATTAGTTAAAATGTGGAGCTTCAGGGTTGTAGGGGAAATATTTAAGAATCCAGACAGAAATCAGGTTAGCCTTGGATTTGAGAGTCCTGTAGGAGACTAGTGTGACCAGTGTTAGTTCATAGAGCTGGCTTTATTACTCCAATACCAAGGCTGCAGGCAGGTAGCACAGGTGCCTGAGGGAATACTGCTCCTACATGTGTCAGAAGAAATAGGCATCTCACATAAATACACTGTGTAGAAAACATTAGATGTTATTGCCAGTCCCAGGTTCAGGTACATGGAGAGCTCTGAGGCAAACAGAGAAATGGAGTAATTTTAGCTAGGCTCATTCTTCCTCAAACTAAACCAGGGTTCTGTTAGGAAGGGCAAAAGTATGGGACTAGATTATAGATAGGTGACAAACTTTGGTCTCCAGGCAGCAAATAGTAAAGATCAGAGAGGAAGGAAACAGCGATGGAAGGGGAGGGGTTTGAGCCCAAGAGGAAGGGCTGGGGACAGGCCGCATGCAGCCACTGGATTGGGGAGCAGCTTTCCTGAACCTGGCTTCGTGTGCGTGGGTGCATGCGTGCGTGCGTGTGTATGTGTGTTTGTTTCTCCAGGACTTGCCCATGTCCCCCCACTCATCTTTTGGTACTTCTCTTCCAGGGAGACCACTGCAATTTTAGCCATGACATTGAACTGCCAAAGAAACGAGAGCTGTGCAAGTTCTACATCACAGGCTTCTGTGCCCGGGCCGAGAACTGCCCCTATATGCATGATATCCTTTTCCACGCCCTCCATGCCATCTGCCTTTCCTTTGCCCCAGGGGCCCAGCTGTCCCCTCCTTCTCTGAGGAGGGAACCCACATTCCCACCACAACACTTTAATGCATTCACAGCACTAGCCTCCCAGCACGTTTTTCTTAGATTTTTCAGACTGGCTTTGTGAGTCCTTGAATTTCCCTCTTCTGAGGAGGGTCTAAGGACCCAGTTTCAGGGCCCACTCAGGGGGCCAGAACTTACTCAGGAGCTGAAGGAGTGTTGGAACATTCCTCATCTCAGGTCTGCTGCCTGCTGCCACTTCACTTCTCTGAACTCTGATGTCTTCATCCCTGAAACAAAGGTGGTTGGTTGTGCTTTGGGGTAGCTGCTGAGAGGAAATCTTTGCCTTAACTGGTCATGAACGTGACTTTCCCTGTAAATTATACCACACCACTGGGAACTGCATCAATGGTGATGACTGCATGTTCTCCCATGACCCTCTGACCGAGGAGACACGAGAGCTTTTAGATAAGGTAAGCTCTTAGATAATGTCTGGGGTGGCATGGTGGCCAAGGCTGACCAGTTCAGGCAGCACCGTCCATTGACATGGCCTCTGCAGGACCAGAGTCCCCACTTGCATCCATCCAGACTAAGCCATTTTTAGGGGGAAACAGCTGGGTTCTATCCTACAGGGGAGGTGGGGATCCCCACTGTATCTTTCCTCAGACCTCAGCCAGCTGTCACTGTGTTCCCTGGAGGACAGCTTTGTGAAAGGAATGCCACCTGGCATTCTACACACCTCACAGTATTCTCATGTTCTGTAGCCAGTGCCCGAATTGTGCAGAGGGTGGAAATTCCAATGTCCCTGCAGTCACGGGATTCATACAGAGAAAGGAGAGGACATGAGATCTCATAAACCAGGTGACACTTACCGTAGTGTCTCTTCTTCCCCAGGAGTTAGGACCAGGGCTTTGGGACTACTTTGTTCATACCTTACTCACATGTAGCGTGAAGTACAGAAAGTATCTTATAGGTGAGGCTTTCCTTGCTCAGCCCCAAAGGCAGAGCCAATTCAAGAATCCACCCAGAGCTGGACGTGGTAGCACATGCCTTTAATTTCAGCATGTGGGAGGCAGAGGCAGGTGGATCTCTGTGAGACAGAGGCTAGCCTGTTCTACATAGCAAGTTCCAAGCCAGCTGGGACTACAGGAAAACCCTGTCTCAAAAAGACCCCCAAAAAAGAATCCACCCAGGCTGGAGTATGGCTTGGTGACACACAGTGAGCATGGCCCTGGGCTCCATCTGCAGCAAAACAAATCTAGCTTTCAGGGCCTGCCCTGTTAAACTATGGCAGGGCTGCTCAGGAAACCCTGTACCAGCAAAAGTCAGCACATGCACTGTGCTTTGGCACAGTTGGTGGGCAGGCTCACTTTTGCCATTCCCCTTGGGGAACCTGTCAGCACAGGGCAGGGTGATCAACAGCTGGTCACTTGACAGAGTGAGCAAAGATCCAAGTCTGATTGGAAGGACTAATAATGTGTGACTGAGGGCCGCCCCCTTCTGGAGACTCAGAGTTCACCTCTGGAGAAAAACCCAGCTACATGGTTCATTTTAGTTTTTCTAGTAGCTAAGTTTTAAGTGTTGTGTTTTGTTTGTTGCCTTTTTGTTTTGTTTTCCCAGGGTCTCACTATGTAACCCTGGCTGGCCTGGGACTCCCTTTGTAGACCAGGCTGGGATCAAAGGTGTCTGACACTACACCAAAACTTTTTTCTTTTTTTAAGACAGGGTTTTGCTATGCCACCCAGGCTAGCCTCTCAGTGCTGGGCTTGCAGGTGTGCTCCCCCACACCCAACTTTTACTTTCCAAGTTCTTGGTGACTTGAGTGTCCAGATAACTAGTCTAGCTTTGGAAGCTTGCCTGCTTTAGGGCCAGTGATGAAGCTTATATGGAATCAAGTGGCAAGAGTGGCATGGAACAAGAAGGCAGACCTGGCCCATTTGTCAGCACTGTCTTGTCTTACTTGTGGTCGTAGGCATTTAGTTTATTTGAGAGAGCAAAACTGTAAAAATACAAATATGTACACATGTACTCTCCACACCAGTCTGGTGCATTCCTCCGGCTCCTTTATCTCAACTCCAGTACTTCAGGTGCACACAGGCATGTAGTCACTTGTTTAAAACAGGGTCTCTGTAAGCCAAGCTGGCCTTGAACTCACCATCTCACCACAGCTGCTCTTGAACTCCTGATCTTCCTGCTTCCAGCTCCCAAGTGCTAGAAAAGTGCTAGGATTACAGGTGTGTGCCACTATCCCCCAACCCTGCAGGCCTGGGGTTTTTTGTTTTGGTTTGGTTTTTTGAGACAGGGTCTCCTGTAACTGCAGTTGGCCTGGAGCTCACAGTGTAGACCATTCTGGCCTTCATCTCACAGAGATCCGCCTGCATCTGCCTCCCACATGCTGCGATTAAAGGCATGTGCCACTACACCTGGTAGTTCTGAGGGTTGTGACAAACATGTAGCTTTGTGTCAGCTCTGCCTTTCTCTGTAAATGTCACCACCATCACCAGCCCCTAACAGCTTCTGATATGGTTTCTGTCCCTATAGTTTACCTTTTCAGGGTGTTGAATAGGGACCGGGGGTGACTAAGTGGTAAAGTATGTGCTGCACACGCATAAGAGACCCTAGGTTTGCTCCCCAGAGCCACAGTTTAAAAATGAGTAAATGGGGCTGGAGCAATGGCTCAGCGGTTAAGAGCACTGACTGCTCTTGCAGAGGACCCAGGTTTGATTCCCAGCACCCACATGGCGGCTACAAACCGTCTTTAACTCCAGTTCCAGGGGAATCCGAAGCCCTCTTCTGACCTCTGCGACATTGCATGACACGGGTGCACACACATACATGCAGGCAATACACTCATACACATAAAATAAAAATAATAAATAAAATATTTTTTAAAAAATGAGTGAAGTACAGCTGTAGTGTGTCCAGGCTTCGAAAAGCATCTGCCTCTCCACCAGCCATAGTGCACTTGTGATCTGCTCACAGCGCTGTGAGGCACAGCAGCAGTTCAGTACGATGCTTGAATTTGTGATCTAGTCGTTAGTTGAACATTTGGGTATTTCCAGTTTAGGGTAGAAGCTAGACCTTGTGATGACTGCCTTGTGCTCCTTGGCCTTTGGTGAAGTGGGGTCCTTATCCATGCACTTGGCAAGGATGACTACCGTTTTACATTGAGTGGATGACTGACTCCTGGAAAGCCTTTGGGTGACTGAGCATCAGCTCTGTTGAACGGTTTGGGGACACAGCAGGGTGCTAGTGGGAAGAGCCTGTAAGCAGTGGTCCTGCTGCTGGGGAACTCAGGAAAAGGCTGCAAGGGAGTGTCTATGCATTCTCCCACCTGTGCTAAAATGGATGATGGGTGGTTTTTACTCAGTGGCCCTCTTATTAGTCATTTTCTCTTACTAGTTTTGCATGTCCATGTCATTGGGCTCAGGCTGGGGATACGCGCGTGGAGGTCCATATCTTGAGCTGGCTGCCTCAGCTTTGTTCTGCCTGGCACAGATGGAAGGCAGAAGAAGCCCAATTGTAGGCCTGGCTGAGAAGATTTTATGCCCATTGACAGAGGGCATCTCTAAGAGTGCCAGGGTAGGTGCCAGCAAGACTGCTTTGATCCAGTTTGTCAACCAGGAACAGGTTGAGCCTGTCCTACCTAGTGGCTGTCCCAGCTCCAGAGCCAACAGTCTGATGGAGATTGTTAAGGGATTGGCCGAGTTTTTGTGTTCCCTCCTCAGCAGAGAGAAGTACACTCTGTTTTGAAGCCTCAAGGAGCAGACCTAGCTGGGGGTATGGGAGGCTTGTGTGGACATTGTGAGTGGGAACCAGGGTAGTGAGGGGAGACTAGTTTCAACCTTGATCCTCCTGCCTCATCCTCCCCAGTGCTGAGATTACAGGTGTGTGCCACTACAGCTGGTTTGGTGAGGGTTTTGTTACAAAGATGAATCTAGGTCCTAAACCCCTCTATTCTAAAGGCCTCAGCTGGTTTGTGTTTTAAGTTTCCTTAGGAAATTCAGCTCTCCCCGTAGGAGGCGTCCATTCCAGCCTTACTTGCCCAGGCCCTCTGATGACTCTCCCTTTCCTACCCACAGATGCTGGCTGATGATGCAGAAGCAGGTGCCGAAGATGAGAAGGAGGTAGAAGAGCTAAAGAAGCAGGGCATCAACCCCTTGCCCAAGCCACCCCCTGGCGTGGGCCTCCTGCCCACCCCCCCACGTCCCCCTGGGCCCCCGGCCCCCAACTCTCCCAATGGCAGGCCCATGCAGGGCGGCCCTCCTCCCCCTCCCCCACCGCCCCCTGGGCCTCCACAGATGCCCATGCCTGTGCATGAGCCACTGTCCCCGCAACAGCTGCAACAGCAGCAGGACATGTACAAGAAGATCCCCTCCTTGTTCGAGATTGTGGTGCGGCCCACAGGACAGCTTGCTGAGAAGCTGGGTGTGAGGTAAGTGTGCAGGCCAGGGGAACTTGGCCTGGATGGGCCTCTGCCCCTCTCTAAATCTGTCTGAGCCTCTGTCTGGGCTGTGGCCTTGGGCTCTGAGTTGTCCTGAAGGTGCCCTGGGCTGGGTGCCACCACCTTTACTGGACAGCCTCTTACAGGCACCATTTCCTCCTCTAGGTTCCCTGGACCTGGTGGACCCTCAGGGCCAATGGGTCCCGGGCCCAACATGGGACCTCCAGGGCCAATGGGGGGCCCCATGCACCCAGACATGCACCCTGATATGCACCCTGACATGCACCCGGACATGCACCCGGATATGCACCCAGACATGCACCCAGACATGCACCCTGACATGTCGATGGGCCCTGGCATGAACCCTGGCCCACCCATGGGTCCCGGCGGCCCCCCGATGATGCCCTATGGTCCTGAAGACTCCCCACACTCGGGAATGATGCCCCCCATCCCAGCAGCCCAGAACTTCTATGAGAACTTCTACCCGCAGCAAGAAGGCATGGAGATGGAGCCAGGGCTCACTGGTGACACAGGTACGCAGGCACCAGCTGGACTTACCAGGGCACAGCACTGGGAGCATGTGGCTTTTCTTCCTTGGTCAAGGCTCACAGCAACACTCTGATCTCATCCCTGTTGTTGGGGGCTTTCAGCATTATGGGACCCATAACCTTCTAGAGGCCAAATGGACTCTTGTGTTTATTGTCAGTGCAGTTCATAGCAGTTCTTGGGAATTTGTGCTCATTGTGCCTGGCAACAGCCTGGAGTAAGTCATCTGCCCTGGACAAGGAGGCTCTTCAGATGGCACTGGGCTTGGTGCTGTGGGGTCCATCAGTGAATGCCTGGCCTGACCCCCGTGACTAGCCATTTTCCTTCCTCCTCTTTCCTGTGTGTTGCTAAATAACCTCAGTGTCTGCCAGTTAAGACTGGAAAGGAGGGATTTGCCCCAGCCCAGAGCTCAGCAAGTGCTTCTGTAACTGCATTTTAGCAGAGGGAAGCAAAGTGAGTTGCTTTTTTCAGTATGGGCCATTGTTAGAAGATAACCCGTGGGGTGGGATACCAGCAGTGCCCTAGCAGGGACAGTCAGCTGAGACCTCTCTGAGAATTGAAAATCTGGGAACTAGAAATGGAGGAGGCGGGCAGGTAAATACAGCAGGACCAGAAGCCGCAGCTGGCCCATTGTCTGAGGAGAGCAGCGTGGCCATCTTTATGAAAGGAGAGGGTGAAGTCAGTAGGTGCAGGCCTGCCTGTCAGCCACAGCAGCTCTGTAGAACAGTGGAGAGGTGGGACACGTGTCCTGGGAGGCTGAGGCAAGAGAGCTGTTTCAAGTTCCAAGCCAGGAAGCAGTGAGACTGGAAACAACCAGAACAGTGGAGGAAGCTTCCAGGAGGCTTCCGTGGAGTTGTCCATGACAGATGTGACCAGCTGGTGGCAGGGAGGTGGCCAAGAGTACTGGGGTAGGCCACATGGTTTGGACATGGCACCTTGGGGCCTGAGAGACCTGTTTGTGCTGTGTAGGGTGGGCAGGAGAAGCTTGGAGCATGGGTGCTGGATGGGCAGGCAGTTACCAAATTTCAGGCTGCTGGGCTGTTACGGGTGGTGACCACTACTGCCTCAAAGCATGAGGTGCCTATGAGTGAGCCCTGCAGAAACATGATGTGCATGAGCGTCCTTGGTTTGTGTAGTGTATGTGAAGAGCAGGGCTTCGGAGAAAACAGGCCAGTAAGAGTGAGGTGCTGCTCCCTGGCACATTTAATGACATAGGCGGGCCTCAGGGAAGGAGGCCAGAGTTGGCTGGCCTGGTCTGGTGATAGTGAAAGTGAGATACTGGAGGTGGTTCCTGGAGGGGTGCAGATGACAAAGACATGCTGTCAACCTCTACCCTTTAGCGCCCCCTGCTGGTGTGTTGCATGTGCACACAGCCTTTGCATGATTCTCATTCTGTGAAGGCAGAGCCTCAGCCTCTTGCACTCATCCCTAGCTCCATGACTGAGGTATTGAGCAGGCTCTCGGTAGACCATGTTCAGCCCCTCACATTGTCCTGCATATTATTTTGTATATGAAGTATTTATCAGTTTTGCTTTTTTATGTGTATGATGTGTGTTTGAATGTGTGCAGGCATACTTGTGAGGGTGTACATGTGTGTATAGTGATGTGTGAGGGCCAGAGGTTGTCCTCAGCTGTCTCTCCATTGCTCTCCATCATATGTATTAAGACAGTCTCCCACTTGAACTCAGAGCTCGCCGACTCAGCTAGTCTAGCTAGCCAGATGATCTGGGAATATCCCATCTACCTCCCAAGTCCTGAACTACCACGCCAACCCTGTGTTTACATGAGTACTGGGGATCCAGCTGTGGGGTAGTCATTTTACCCACTGAGCCATCTCCTCAGTTCTCAATTTTGCAATTTAAAGTATTTGAACACCAGAGTAACTTGGTAGCACTGACCGCATCTCTGATGTTGAGTATATTGCCCCAGCAGGACAAGAGGGGTCGTTCACATGTGTGAGGGACAGGGTGGACCCCCTGATCCACTCTGTCCTGGTCACTCTGGCCACCCCTTTACTATCCAGGGAGGGGCACTGAGAAATAGTGGTGTGCAGACTACTGGTAAGGGAGGAAAAGCCCACTGTGGCCATGAAGGGAAGCTGTCTGGCCCTCCCAGCCACACACCTGTGTGCTCACACATTTGTCATCCAGGAGCCCAGCCCATAGAGAACAGGGAGGATCTGCCCTGAGTTGAATGGACCTGAGGTCTTTTGGCCTGGCTTGTTCTCTTCTGGTTTTGTTGGTAAATGTGGTTGAGCTCATGAATGAGCTCCCAAGAGATACAGAGATTCTCTTTTTTTACAGGGTGTCCAACCTGTAGCCCTTAGCTGCATGCAGCTGAAGACAGCTGTGAAAGCAACACAACACAAAATTAAACAGTTAAAACGTGGTGGCTCCCACCTTTAGTGCCAGCAATAGGGAGGCAGAGGCTGTGTAGTGAGACCCTGTCTCAATAAACATAAACATGACCTCGTTTTATGAGAACTATTGAGACAGGGTCTCCTTGTAGCCCAAGCTGGACTAGAACTCAACTTTGTAGACCAGGCTGGCCTCGAACTCACAGAGCTCCACCTGCCTCTACCTCCTGAGTGCTGGGACTAAAAGTGTGTGCCACCACACCCAGCTGTGAGAATTATTTTTAATTTGATCACATGCTTTTTAAGCATGAGTTTGGTAGATGACCGAATCATATTATAACGTCAAAAGGTTGGACATGCCTGAAAGAAACCATGAGACTGTGCTAAAAGCCAATGACAAAAACAAGCCTATGTTTTGTAGGGGCGGCAGCAGCCACCCAACCCCAGAGGGAGGGGTCCTGTCTGCCCTCGGCTTGTGCACTTGGCACCAGCCCTGCCCTCATCTATCAGCTGCCATGCCCTCCCTGAGCCTCATCCTTCCCCTGCCAGCTGGCCACTGTGGGCTCCTGCTGGACTCTCAAGGCACCCAGGCTTGGGGAGGAGGAAGGGACGGGCAGCCATCCTCATACTGGCCCTCGCCACCGGGCTTGGCTTGTCCAGTGGAGGCCTTCCCGACACAAACCCTCTTCCCTGCCACAGAGGACTACGGGCACTACGAAGAGTTGCCGGGGCAGCCTGGGGAGCCCCTCTTCCCTGAGCACCCTCTGGATCCCGACAGCTTCCCCGAGGGAGGGCCCCCAGGCCGGCCGAAGGCGGGCGCCGGTGTCCCCGACTTCCTGCCCTCAGCCCAGAGGGCCCTGTACCTGAGGATCCAGCAGAAGCAGCAGGAGGAGGAGGAGAGAGCGAGGAGGCTGGCTGAGAGCAGCAAGCAGGACCGGGAGAATGAGGAAGGCATGTGTCCCCCGCAGGGGCCCGTCCGGCTCTGCACAGGGACGAGGGGGGCCACTGCCCTAGGTTGGATGCTGTATCTGGAAGAAGCAAGGCCAGGGAAGCCCTGCCCTGGGCTACGAGGCCACCCTGGCTGCAGCCTGGCACTGAGGAAGTGGAGGCTAGGACTGCCCTTCCATGTCTCAAGTTTGGGAGACTCCTAACCCACAGAGGAGGGTGGTGGGCTGATCCCCCCAGCAGGAACAGCTAGGGATGCCCTTCCAGAAGAGGCTTGAGGGATACCACCACAGCCCCATCCCTAGAGCACATACTGGGGAGCCCACAGAAGGACCAGCCAACTATAGAGATGAGTAATACCAGTGGTACAGTCACAGGCATGAGTGGTCGTCCTGGAGGCATCCACCTCAGGGATGAATGGACCAAGGGGTTTCTGGAGCTTAGGAGCCAGTGGGGACAGCAGGAGGAAGGGTGGAGTCGGTGGCCTGCCCTGGTGGCTAAGATTTCCCTCCTGGGTTCTGCTTGTGGTTGTACCTGCCCTTCCTGGTCATTGGAATGCTGTGAGGGGATGTGTGTGTGAGCTTTGGCCCAAGAGAGCTGTCAGCACAACTGCTGCCCAGACCTCCAGAGAGAGAGCTGTCTAGAGCCGTGCTGATCATGTTTCTCTAGACCAACCCCACCTGGAGGGCAGGAGGAGGCAGCAGGCAGCAGGGCACTGGGTTCCAAGGCCCAGTCTAGCCCTACCCTGACTTACTGGCATTGTGCCTTTATTTCATCATCTGTCCAGTGGGCATGTTGGTGGCAGGACCTCCTGGGCGCAGTTGTGAATTACTTAGGTTAGACCACCCACTGAGAGCAGTCCTGACCTGGGAGGGAAGCATCGAAGATGTGAATGGCCAGGGCTAGGCTTGCCATCTCCATCTCCCTGGCCTGTCTGGTACTGCTGTGATGGGGCTGGGGCCGTAGGAGAGGAGATGCTGAGAGCCGGGAGAACAGAGCCACACACCAGGGTCACGTAGAGGTTCAAGAGAACTGTGGAATATAGCCACTTATGCCTCTCCACTCCTCTGCTTTCTCTCAGGTGACACCGGAAACTGGTACTCAAGTGACGAGGATGAGGGCGGGAGCAGTGTCACGTCCATCCTCAAGACTCTGCGGCAGCAGACATCTAGCCGACCTCAGGTTTCAGTTGGGGAGCCAAGCAGCAGTGGGCTGGGGGACCCCCGTCTGCAGAAAGCACACCCCACAGGAGGCCGACTGGCTGACCCCCGTCTGAGCCGGGACCCCAGACTCAGTCGCCATGCAGAGGCCTCTGGTGGGTCGGGCTCAGGGGACACAGGGCCCTCTGACCCTCGATTGGCTCGCACCCTGCCCACCTCCAAGGCCGAGGGCAGCCTTCATTCCAGCCCCATAGGCCCCAACAGTTCAAAAGGGTCTGGACAGCCTCCTGCAGAAGAGGAAGAAGGGGAACGGGCCCTGAGGGAGAAGGCTGTGAACATTCCCCTGGAACCCCTGCCAGGGCACCCACTGCGGGACCCACGCTCCCAGCTGCAGCAATTCAGCCACATCAAGAAGGATGTGATCCTGAGCAAGCCAAGCTTTGCCCGAACTGTGCTCTGGAACCCCGAGGACCTAATCCCCTTACCCATCCCCAAGCAGGATGTGCCCCCAGTGCCTGCTGCCCTGCAATCTCTGCCTGCCTTGGACCCCAGGCTGCACCGATCCACCCCTACAGGGCCTCCCAACACCCGGCAGCGCCCAGGCACATCCACGGACCCCAGTGCATCTGGCTCTAACCTGCCTGACTTTGAGCTCCTCTCTCGAATCCTCAAGACTGTTAACGTCAACACCCCCAGCCAGAGTGACAAACCCAGTGACCCCAGGGTGCGGAAGACCCCTACAGACCCTAGATTACAGAAGCCAGCAGACCCCGCGGCAGCCTCCCGTGCAGCCAAGCCTTGCCCCACTGAAGCATCACCTCCTGCTGTCAGCCCCAGCGGGGACTCATCCCCTCCAGCCACGGCTCCCTACGACCCCCGAGTGCTGGCAGCTGGTGGACTGGGCCAAGGCGGTGGTAGTGGGCAGAGCAGCGTGCTGAGCGGCATCAGCCTATATGACCCGAGGACTCCCAATGCAGGTGGCAAAGCTGCAGAAGCAGCCTCTGACCCAGGCACCCAGCTGAAGGGTCCTGAGGGCAATGGCAAGAGCTTGGCCTCTAAGGCCAAGGAGCCCCCATTTGTCCGCAAGTCTGCCCTAGAGCAGCCAGAGACAGGGAAGGCTGGCACAGACGGGGCCACGGACAGATACAACAGTTACAACCGGCCCCGGCCCAAGGCTACTTCGGCCCCTACCGCTGCCACAGCCACCCCACCCCCTGAGGGGGCTGCACCCCAGCCTGGGGTGCACAACCTGCCTGTGCCCACCCTCTTTGGGACTGTGAAGCCAGCCCCCAAAACAGGCACAGGAAGCCCATTTGCTGGCAACAGTCCTGCTCACGAGGGTGAGCAAGACGCAGGGTCCCTGAAGGACGTTTTTAAAGGCTTTGACCCCACAGCCTCCCCCTTCTGCCAGTAGTGTTTTTGGGAGCCAGGGCTCCTTCACTCCACCGCCCCTTCCTAGAGTGATATTTAAGGGCAGCAACCAGAGTTGGGGGCAGGTTGGGGTCAGGATGTTCTTCTTTTCTCCCCCTTTTTCCTTTTTTAAGTAGTACTTTCTTTGAGACATAAATTGTATATAACCATCTTCGTTTCTGGTCAGTGCTGTAGGCTCCTGGGCTTCCGCCCCTGAGTGAGCAACTCGTGCCCAGCATGGATGGGGCTTCCCCAGGACTAAGGGAAATGTGTCTGCAAAGGCACCGAAGGCCACTTACCCTGCATTGCTGGGCAAGGAGGGATGGAGCTACATTGTGCTGGTGGAGGCGTTACTAGGACCCCAGGGTGAACTGTCTTCTCCAGCTTGTGGCCTGTGATAGCCTACTTCCAGACAAGGTGACAGAAGATTTCAGAAGAAGAGAAAGATCCTGACAGCCTCCCAGCCCTAGTCCTCTCCTGCTGTGCTTCCCCATGTCCCACATGCTCTAACCAGAGTTTGTCCTGAAAGTGACGCCCTCTAGCCTGCATAAGAGACTGAGTGAGGCAGACCTGCAGGTCTGGCTGGGGTGGGACAGTCCTTCCGAGGTTCTCCCACAGTATTACCTGTCCTGTGCCCATGCTGGCCCTGCCCTGTGCCTGCACTGCCAGCCTGACCCTCGAGACAGCTCAAGGATCCGTGGTGCCATCACCCGCCAGGCTCCCAAGGAAGGAAGCCTGGGTGGCCCTGGCAAAGTGCTTGCTGCTTCCCACTCCCCTTTAGCCAGTTCTCTATAGCACCAGGTAGTGTTTGCTTTTTCCTCCCAAGCTGACAGACATAGGAGCTGAGGTGTGTCACAGTGTTGGATTAGTGGTGGCTTTCCAAAAGGGGGCCTGAGGAAATGACAGGCGTCCAGCCAGGGCCAGAGAGGCTCTTCCTAGGAAATGGACAAGGTTCCCTCTGGTGGAGAGACCTGAGGCATCTGGCAGATCCCAGAGTGAAGCCTCTCTCCCTAGCCACCTTAGGACTGGCCTTGTCTACAGAGCCCCCAGGGGAGCAAGCCCTGTGACCATGTCCCTAAGCCTGGCCCAGGGAGCCAGGTAAGACCTGCAGAACTTGCTGCCTCTGTGTCACTCCCCAGGCCCCAGAGGTCTGCTTTCTTGTGGCCCACCACTCCCTTTGTCTCCAGGTCCCTCAGCCCTGCTGCCTCACTGGGGGCCCACACCTCCTACTCTTCCTCCTTACTAATGATGAGACCTGGCCCTTAGCCAGTGGATCCCCCTCCACCACAGAGTGGGAGGGGACAGGCTCCCACACCCCCACAACCCAAAGAGAAACCCCTTAAAAGCAGCTTGGGGCCTGAAGCCAGGGTAGGATGGGCTGGTCCCCCACAGGGCCAGACGACCCCATGGGGTCAAGTGCACCAAGATCAAGTTCGTTTGGTTTGTCTTTGTGTCTTTTGTTTGTTTTCTTAAACCGTCATCAATGAGATTTGTCTTCAGCCCCCAGTGTTGGCTCTGAAGCAGGGGCTGCCCTGTGTAGGATAAGGAAGGATACAGTGTGGCAGTGTTGTGGATTTTTGCCCCCCTCTCCTTTGAAAATTCTCTTTTGTAAAAACCAGGCTTGGTGCACACCTGTCATCCCAGCACTCGGGAGGCCGAGGCAAGAGGATCACGAGTTAGAAGCCAGCCTACATTAGAAAAAGAAAAATTTGTTTTTGTTTAAGAAAAATTAAATGCCCCACAGGGCCAGACGACCTCATGGGGTCAAGTGCACCAAGATCAAGTTCGTTTGGTTTGTCTTTGTGTCTTTTGTTTGTTTTCTTAAACCATCATCAATGAGATTTGTCTTCAGCCCCCAGTGTTGGCTCTGAAGCAGGGGCTGCCCTGTGTAAAAAGAAGGATACAGTGTGGCAGTGTTGTGGATTTTTCCCCCCCTCTCCTTTGAAAATTCTCTTTTGTAAAAACCAGGCTTGGTGCACACCTGTCATGAGGCAAGAGGATCACCAGTTAGAAGCCAGCCTACATTAGAAAAAGAAAAATTTGTTTTTGTTTAAGAAAAATTAAATGAATTTTTAAATCCCAAATCTGTGGGTGGGATGGAAGCTGGAGCCCTCCTCTTGGAACAGTTAGCCCAAGAGCCTCCAGGACGAGGAACGCCCCCAGAATCCCCACTCGCCATCAGGCCGTGCTTTTAAAGAAAAATTGTTCTCTAACCAGGATTGTAACAAAAGTGTAAATAGTATTTCCGAGTTGAAAGTCGATGGTGCAAATATGTATATAACGTACTGTATTTTTACAATGATCGTCGCATGACTCTCCTGCCCCTTTTGTACTCAGTATCTGTCTTCCAGAAACCTCACCTGCCTTCTCTCCTGTGGTCTCTTAATCCAATAATTGTATTACTGCCATTAAAGGATGCAGTTATTTTAAACAGCCTGGGAGTCTCCTCTCTGTCCACCCAACCTCTTGCGAGGAAATGAGTGGGAGAAAACCCACGAAGCCTTTCTAAGTATGTCGGGGATCTGCCCTGTTGTTTCCTTCTGGTGGGATCAAGCCCAGAGCTTCATGTGTGCTAGACAAGCCTCTGTCACAGAACAACCCCAGCCTTGACATGCTTAGATAACAACTACAGCTGAGCTGGTTGCACGCCTGTGATCCCAGCACTTGGGAGACGGGGGCAGAGGGTGGTGAGTTGAAGAGAGCTTGAACTAGACCTAACCTCAGAAGAAAGAAATGCAGCCTTACAAGGATTCAGAGATCTACATCCATATTTACATGTCTACTATGCTTTTATTTATTTATTTATTCATTTTTGGTCTTTTTGAGAGAGTCTCCCTGTAGCCCCAGCTCACCCAGAACTCTATGTAGACCAGGCTGGCCTTGAACCCAGAGATCCACCTACTTGAACTCAGAGATTTGCCTACTGCCTCCCAAGTGCTGGGATCAAAGACATCCAGCTTTCAACCTATTGCTAGGGAGTGCAAAAGCCTTGTTCATCTAATAGTGACCTGTTTTTTGTTGTTGTTGTTTTTTTTTTTTTTTTTGATCCTTTTGAGACATGGTCTCCCTGTAATCCCAGCTGGTCTGGAGCTCACTATGGAGACCAGGCTTGTGCCTCCCAAGTACTGTCTTCCTGCATGTAATCCCTCGGCTTCAGGTTTTCCTGTGCTGGGATCATAGGGCATGTAGGCATGCCCCACCATGTCTAGCAGTATATACAACTTTTTTTTCCCCTAGATTTTATTTTTATTCATGCGTGTGTGTGTGTGTCTGTGTCTGTGTCTGCCATGTATGTGAAGGTGCCTGAGAGGGCCAGAACAGGGCATCAGACCCCTGGAGCTGGAGTTACAGGTAATTGTGAGCTGCCATATATGGCTGCTGGAAACTGAACTCATCTTTGCAAGAGCAGCAAGCACTCTTAAGTGCTGAGCCATCTCTGAGCTCCCTCCTGCTGCTACCCACCCCACTGTTTTTTAAATCATAGGGTTTAGAAGAGCTTATGACACCAAAGCAAGAATCCCTGTCCTGTAGTTTGTTGGTTCTAGCTACCCTTAACAAAAATCTCACTACTCATGAGGCTGCAAAGACAGCTCAGTGGTTAAGAGCACTTGCTGCCCTGCCAGAGGACCCAAGTTGTAGATCCCAGCACCCATTTGTGATGGCTCACAGCCACCTGTAACTCCAGGGGATCTGATGCCCCCTTCTGACCTCTGTGAGTACTGCATTCACATATACACATACCCACACACAGACACACATAAATAATTTAAAATAAATCTTTAGTAGCCAGGCATGGTGGCACATGCCTTTAGTTTCAGCACTCGGGAGGCAGAGAAAGGCGGATCTCTGAGTTCAAGGCCAGCCTAGTCTACATAGTGAGTTCCAGACCAGCTGAGGCTACAGGAGACCCTGTCTCAAAAAGACCAAAAAAAATCTTTAGGCCAGGTATGGTGCACACCTGTAATCCCAGCACTCAGGAGATGGGCAGGGAGGTCTTCGTGAGATCAAGGCTAGCCTGGTGTATATAGCCAGTTCCAGGCCAGCTGGGGCTACAGGGAGACCTTGTCTCAAAAAGTAAAACAGCCAGGCATGGTGGCACACACCTTTAATCCCAGCACTTGGGAGGCAGAGGCAGGCAGATCTCTGTGAGTTCAAGGCCAGCCTTGCCTACACAATGAGTTCCAGGTCAGCTGGGGCTACTGGGAGACCCTGTCTCAAAAAGACATAAATTAAATAAATAAATAATAAATAAATAAATAAATAAATAAATAATATGAAATAATAAATTGACAAAAACCAGATTCAGTGGCTTAACATATTTTCTGTTAAAGGTCTAGAACCTGGGAAGTCCAAGTGCCTGTGGATTCAGTCCTTGGATAGACCTTCTAGGCTTGCAGATTCCTTGTGTTTTCAGTGGTCCATGTAGGTGGGGTGATGAGGACCGGGCAGATGTATTCTCTGGTGTCTCTTATTTTGTTTTTTCTCTTTTAATATTTATTTTTATTTTATGTGTGTGAGTGTATTGTCTGCATGTATGTAAGTGCACCCGTGTTGGGCAATGCCAGAGGTCAGAAGAGGACATCATATCTCCTAGAATTGGATTTATGGACAGTTGTTAGTTGCCATGTGGGTATTGTGAATCAAACCTAGGTCCTCTGGGAGAGGAGTCAGTGCTTTTAACCGATGAGCCCTCTCTCCAGTCCCTTGTTTTATCTTTTCAAACACATTATAGAACACCATTTAGGAACTTGTTTGTGATACATGCATAAGTCAAACTGTGTCCTAAGTGAACTTTTAGGAAGAATCCCCTGTTTACCATCTTATGCCTATATATAGCTGGGCATGATTAAATCAGATACATTGGGCCAGTGAGATGTTTCAGCAGGTAAGGTTAACTGACCGCAAGCCTGGTAAACTGAGGTCAGTCCCCAGGACCCACTGGTGGAAGGAGAGAAACAACTCCCCCCAGCTGTCCTCTGGCCTCCACAGGAACACCATGGCACACATACACACACAATCATTTTTTGTTATTGTTCTTTTTTTGAGACAGGGTCTCCCTGTAGCCCCAGCCGACCTGGAACTTGCTGTGAACTTGCTGTGTACACCAGGCCCTGTCTCAAAAACCACACAAATCTTAAAATTTGAAATTTAAAAGAGGATAGGTGTGCTGAAAATCCTGCATGCTCAAGGCCCTGGGTTTCATCCCCAATGCTACAAAAGAAAGAAAGAAGGA